TTTCTTTTGGGGGACTTTCCAGAACGCTTGGCAAATCCACACCGTGATCATAATAACTAAATTTAATAGAGGCAAAGCAGGCCCTGCGCCGCAACCCCAGAGTCGGTCACGACTGGACATAATGGTCAGGGGCCCCTTTACCTTTTTTAGGCCCTGCTCCCAAGAGAAAAGCAAACACAAGGATCTTAAGCACTTGTGTGAACAGGATAGTACCGGTGCCTGAGATGCAGCAACCGTGATGCATGCCAGATGTCTGCTGGCATTTTCTTTTCTCAAAGTCTTGATAACACAGGTTGAATTTTAAAAGAAAATTGGTGTGTGGGCTAGGACTTTGTCATGGCTGTTTTTCAGAGAGCAGCTTTGCTCGTTCTAACACCCAGGCAAGTCGACGTGGGAGGAGATATTCCTTCACATAGCTGGGGCTTAAGTAATATATGGCTTTATTATGTGTCAGTGTTAATGCCATAAATTGGGCTTGGTAGCAAATTGATAACCAGTGCAGGTGTACAAAACCAGCACAATGTGTCCAGCCAGAATCACCCACCAGTAGCCCAGAGACTGCAGCCCATTCTGAAGACAGCATCTGAAGAGATAGCAGGGCCCAGGGACATCAGCAGACCACAGTTATCTGGTGTCATATGTCTAGTAGAATCCAGGGCAGGAACAGAATAGAGGGATCATCATCTCCCCACTGCACCATAGGCCTTTAGACATATAAGATCAGGTCCAGTGCTCCGCATCTCTAAGCATAAATGTCCAATTTTGAAAAATGCTGACAGGCTTATGAAGACAAGACAGGTCCATATTCCTTAGATCCTTTTCAATACGAGTGTAATAGGAAGCAGCATGAGCAGGGTAATATCGTGGCCCCTTTTTGCACTCATTTGTGAAGCACATTTGATGGCTGTGCATCTTTTCAGGGGTGGGTATCTTGCACCGTCCTAGGCAGAGATAGGGGCACCCAAGCACAGGGGAATCAATGAGCCTAGGCATGCCAAACTCCGCATAGGATCGAGCTGTTAATGTGACCTTTGTAGAAGCAGATGAGGTTGACAGTGCTGTGCATTAATCAGTTAGTTCAGTGCTGCTTTTGCTTCAGAAACTAATTGATCTGTCAGATGAATGCATAGCAATCAGCCAGATATCTTGAGTGCTTCCCCCCTTTGGCCTGGAAGCATCTGTCTCAATTGTAAACACAGATAATGTTCTGGATCGTACAAGGATGTATGTCTGAGGTGGGGGGAGGAAGAATCCTTCCCCCTGCCCGTCCCTTATCATACAGTTGCTTCCAATGTCTGCATTATCTTCATTCTGTCTTAAATTGCCCATACCGTAGACGCTTTTTGCTCACTAGGGCAACTTTATTCATCATTTGTTGTTGTTTAGTCGTGTCCGACTCTCGTGACCCCATGGACCAGAGCATGCCAGGCACTCCTGTCTTCCACTGCCTCCCACGGTTTGGTCAAACTCATGCTGGTAGCTTCAAGAACACTGTCCAACCATCTCGTCCTCTGCCGTCCCCTTCTCCTTGTGCCCTCCATCTTTTCCAACATCAGGGTCTTTTCCAGGGAGTCTTCTCTTCTCATGAGGTGGCCAAAGTCTTGGAGCCTCAGCTTCACAATCTGTCCTTCCAGTGAGCACTTATTCATCATATCTATAAATAAATTGTTTCTCGTTGGGAAAGATACCATCTCGACCAGGGTGGATTGGAGGTCCTGCCCCACATGTATCCTGCTAATTCTCCTTAGGTTTATCACAACCTGCCCCCATTCACACTCAGTTCTGTTGGCAGGACAATGGATGCCCATCACCAATGCAGGCCTCCTTCCCAGTGAAGAACTCCTGCGAGGTCAGTTCACATGTAATAATGTTGCTTGGCTGGCTCATACTGGAGCTGTTTGTTCTATGGTACATTATAACAACAACAACAACAACAACAACAACAACAACTTATTATTTATACCCCGCCCATCTGGCTGGGTTTCCCCAGCCACTCTGGGTGGCTTGCAACTGAATATTAAAAACAATACAGCGTCAGACATTAAAAACTTCCCTAAACAAGGCCACCTTCAGTTGTCTTTTAAAAGTAAAATAGTTGTTTATTGCCTTGACATCTGCTGGGAGGGCGTTCCACAGGGCAGGCGCCACTACCGAGAAGGCCCTCTGCCTGGTTCCCTGTAACTTGGCTTCTTGCAGTGAGGGAAACGCCAGAAGGCCCTCGATACTGGACCTCAGTGTCCCGGCTGGATGATGGGGGTGGAGATGCTCCTTCAGGTATGCAGGACCAAGGCCGTTTAGGGCTTTAAAGGTCAGCACCAACACTTTGAATTGTGCTCGGAAACGTACTGGGAAACCCTGCTCTCTGGTCCAACTAGAATCTGGATTGCACATATGATCCGTAGCTATCCCTTGATGTGTCTACCCTGAAGCGGGGTGTTGGACTACAAGACCTTTCGGTACCTTTCTGATCATTAAAATCAAGACTAAGGCAATGAAGTCTGAACTTGGCTCTGCTCTTCTAATGATAAGAGTGACAATTCTAAATGAGACCTGCAACCTAATATTGCCATGTGAAATGCTTCTGCTCAGCATCTGAGCCAGTCAGCCAACCAGCCATGCCCTTTTCCAGGATATTCCATTTCATTCCACCCCTTTTCCACTTCCCCTCCAACATTCTATGGCTAGGGAGTGTGCCCAGTCCTCATTTGGGGGATTTTTTTTGGTCTCATTTCCTCCCATAAATGTTTTTGTAGTTCTGTAAACCCTGAGGCTGCTGAAGTCCCTCTCTAGTCTATGGATGGTGGCTGCTTTGGCTACATTAGGATTGGTACTCAGAGAGTAGAATTCACTTTTAGTAAACAGGACTGTTCTTGTTGTTATAACATTTTCAAAACAAAAACACTCAACAATAAATAAAATTGGGGGCATAGGGTTCAGCAGGTAGAGAAACGCAGGATTTAACTTGTGCAAGTGGATTTTAATTGAATGTCAATGGAACGTTTTATGTTGGCTTTTAAATATATTGACTGTGCAAGCATTAGATTGCAAGAAGCCTCTGTGTTTTCTTCTTTATGTGCAGCTCCCCCACCCCACCCCCACCTCCTTTGTGGACATCCCTTGTCTCAGCATTTTTGGGTATGCAGACCTCAGTTCTACAGATGACATCCTGATTTGCTCCAATCTGCATTTCATTATTTCTGTTGCTTCTGCATTAATCTATTGGCTTTGGTCCAGTGCGCTGACCTTTGGTGAAATGTGCGCATGATGTTGTTTATAGCCAGTACTTGCATGATGGATTTGTTCACCCTATTCATTTGCACATGGTTTTGCTTCAGTACATGTTGAGCTTACTACCCAACAGGTTTTTTTTAAAAAAAAATATTTATTTCTTGTGGATTCTGTATGGGTAGCAAAAGCCATAGAGGCTTTAGCAAACCTGTTCTGTGCATATTCCTCTCCTCTATTTATGCATGTATTTATTGTACTTGGGGCTTCTTGCATGCCACCTTGGGGGATGAAATAGCCATTGTATGGGGGGGGGAAACTTTCTAAGCTCTTGCTTAAAATATTCGGGTCTAATTTCTTCCCTGTGACCTTTTCCTCATTACTTCAAAAAAGTTTAGAAGTGATCACAAAATATTCACATATCATTGAAAGTGATGTTATACTAAAGAAGCCTTTCCATATTTTTTTTAAAAAAAGCTTTCCCAAGAGAGAAGTGCCAAATCTAAAGCCATTTGTATTTTTTTATATATATAAAAGAGTGGGTTTGATGTAGGCTATCTAGCTGATAGATCTTTGATAACAGACATGTTCAGAGACATAATTTTACAGATCAAAACTACTCCTGTAAATGAACCAGATATATTTCAGAACTTTAATATGTGGCACTGTAGTTATTCAGTAATCATGATCTAATTGGATATAATAAAAAATTTCAGAGAATCCTGAAATGGTCCAAAATTTGTGGCTCAATCCTGAAGTGTTATTCTAGAATACCTTCTAGAAAACAACTGTAGACCGTACTGAATAATATGCCCAACATATGGGCATTATAAATTATATTTCTTTTACATATCTTATTTCTGAAGAATCCCTAAAAATGCGTGCCTTTTAGACATTATAATTGCATTGACAGTTACAAACCAAAATGTAAAACTCTGTTCAGGACATGTTTAAAGCACAGCTTTGAAGAGGCATATTTAAATACATTTGGACCACAATCCAAGGCAAACCCCCCAAAATTAGCCAGTGGTTCCACTGACATCCCACACCCCACACCATCCATTGCCTGAGGCAGCCACTTCACGTAAGCTTATACCAGAACAAACTTAGTTGGTCTATAAGGTGCTACTAGACTTTTTTTTCTTTAATTTTTATTTAGAGGTGCTCATTTTTATGTGCTAGGGGAGCTCAGCACTGCTTAAAACCTTTTCGCTATCCAGCCTCAAGATAGACAAGACAGGTAGTGGGGGTTTTTTCTGGGGTGACGCAGGGACACGCAGGGATACCCCTAAGTTTGGCCTCATCGAAGGGCAATAATTCAATATGATTGGGAAAAGGAGAGAACCCCTAAACACTTTTTTTTTTTTAAAGAAAAACACTGGATACAGTATATATCTTGGGGCTGGATGCGGGAAAGGTTTTCAGCAGTGCTGAGCCCCATATACAGTATATACATACAGTACAGTGGTACCTCGGGTTAAGAACTTCTTTCCGGAGGTCCGTTCTTAACCTGAAACTGTTCTTAACCTGAAGCACCACTTTAGCTAATGGGGCCTCCCGCCGCTGCGCGATTTCTGTTCTCGTCCTGAAGCAAAGTTCTTAACCCGAGGTAATATTACTGGGTTAGCAGAGTCTGTAACCTGAAGCGTATGTAACTCGAGGTACCACTATATACGTATTTAAAAAGTGCATACAGTTTACAGCGAGGGCTGCCCTGGAACCTTTGCGGAGCGCCCGTCCCTCGCCTCTCGGGTCACCATGGCAACCCAAACGCGAGGCGCCGGCCTGCCAGGGAGCCTGACTGCGGGCACAAATCTCTCGGCGAGAACTAAATACGTTAAACCATTCTCGCCCTCCCCGCTCCATGTTGAGGGCGGCGCCGGGCAGAGCGGCGTCCCAAAGCTCAGGAAAGACCTGGGCACCTTTCGAGCGGAGCGCCCGAGGCGGGAGAGAAGGACGCGGCGGGTGGCTCCTCCCGCGCCCGCCGCCATTTTGAGCCGTTGCGGTCGCCTGGCCGGGGGGGAACCGCGCCGCCTTTAGTCCCTTTTCCCTCGCCTTAGTTTGGGGCAGCTGGTTGCTAGGCCTGCATGCCCTCCCCAGCAGCCCTGTTCCGCCTCGGAGGAAAGCCGGCAGGCGCCCCTGCTGCTTCTTCCCCCCTTCTCCGCCTCCCAGGTAAGCGCCCCCTTCTCACGCCCACCTTCTCAGCCAGGATGTTATCCTAAACACGCTTTTTCCTCGGGAGTAAAACCCCACTAAACTCTGTGGGGCTTATTGCTGCATAGACATGCGTAGGATGACGTTACCACCCACCCCCCTGGCTCCAGGGCTTGAGGGTTTTTTTTGAGTTTTGGTTAGAATGGCAAAACCACCTCTTCTTTGACTGAGTTGAAATCAAGTTCATTTTTCTTAGGCTGCACACAAGGGCGTCCTTTCGTTGCCCCCTGGCAGAGACGCTGCGCCTTTAGCAGCTGTATGGCAGCTAAATCATTTTAGCAGGTCCCCCTCGCTGCAGATGCAGTGGCAGGAACAAACCCTGTTCTATTACAGCTGCATTTTTGCCTGAAGCACAACGGTTTTTTTTAGCACAATGACAACCCTGTTTAAGATTATGCAAAATCAATTGCAGGTCAGTCTTAACACACGTGTTTGCTCCTAAGCAACCCCCCAGTGTGTACAAGTAGAGGTTGTTCCCAGGTAAGTGTGTGCTGATGATGACAGCTCTGCAGCATAAAATCACCCTCTAGGAATTATTGTTATCATTACTATTGCTATTATTATTATCAGTGCTATTTTACTAGAAAAAGAGGTGCCCAAATTCACCATGAACTTGCTCTCTTTTAATGGCAGTGGCACCCACCTGAGAGGTACTGGAACTGAGTTCCAGTGAATTCTGGCTGGGGAAAAGCTGTTGTATTTATATTTATTTATATCCCACCTTTTCCCTGGACTGGGGCTCTAGGCGGCTAACAGATAAAAATAAAACACACACAGGAAAAAAACAAAAAACCCATACACAGATAAATAGAAAAGACTAAAAAGAATGCAACAGGAAGCCCAGTAAGGTGTTGGAAATAATTCCTTTCCCCTCCTTTCATTATATGCTTGGATGCAAAATAGGGTTTCTACCTCACGCTACTTTACTGAATGTGGTGGTGTCATTTATTTCTGACCCACGTTTTAGGGCCAGCCTTTGCGAGGCTGCTTAACACTGTGACAAATAACTTACCAAAAAATCATATAAGATAAAGTTATATGGGGGGGGGGCAGTACTCATATTAGTAAAAAGGATGGTTGAATAAAAAAAAAAGTTTTAGCGTTCAAGAGATGGCACTAAGTGGAGTTGGTGGGGGGAATTGCACATGTGTGGAGCCACTATTGGAAAGGTGTTGTAGGGATGGACGAAGGAATGTGCTACTTTTCACTGGTCCACACTGACTGCAAGGATATGACCTTGACATGTGGTGTAAATCATGTCTAAAATTAGCTGTTGCTTTAAAAATATGACACTGGATATCATTGCTCACTTTCCCGTTCTTTTAGTAACATATTCTACAACCTCCATGCAGTTGCATTTAGGGGCATGTGTCCACATAAGAGGGAAAAGGCAAAAAAGACTGTGTCAGTGAGACTAAGATATTTGTGTTTTCAGATATTTCACATGTAGTCTTGGAGAAAAGGTAGTGTGGATTACTGGCATAGCAACCTCTGCTGGCATCTGTGGTGGGGGGTGCGGTGCACATGCGTGCTGCGCCATGAGGGCGTGGCATCCCAAGTGGGCAGGGTGTGCCGCCCAAGCAAATGCATCCCTCCTGGACCAGCACTGCCAGAAAAGCAGCCGCTGGGAGGGCGCCTGGGAGCGACACCCGGGAGGGACATGGCTGGCATGTGCTGGCCTGCAGGATGCCCCAGCCATTGCATCCCTGCTGGGTGGGCGGCCTGTGGTGTGCCCCATACTGCTTTTTCGGACAGTGCTGGGCCCGCTGGAGGGTGCCCAGGAGGGATAGTGACTCGGGTGCTCTGCAGCCCCAATATAGCCCCACCCCTCTGTTCCTGCGCTACTGATGTAGACTATACAGGAGCAGTGACTAATTTAGGCTGCTCAAGAGTCCTGTTTAAACGATTGTAGCCTTATTCCTTGTTCTAGTACTTGTTTATTTGAAATTAAGTCCAACTGACTTCCAAGCAAGGATACACGGGGCTACAGCCGTGTAGCTTGCTAACTTGGAATTGAGTCCCAATTGAATTCAGTAGGGCTTATCCCCAAGCATGATCCCTAACTCATCAGAAAGAAAACCCCAAGCTCTCATCCTCCCTGCTGTTGTGCCTTTTAATAGCACATTGATCTACTAAAATCAGCTGGTGAATCTTCATGTCGTTGTGATAAGCATCATCACCTGCTAATATCTTTATATCAAGCCACTTTTTAAAGAACGGGAGCAATAAAGGAATGGGAGCAAGAGCTATGTAAGCTTGCACAAGATTACAGCTTTATAGTCCAGTCCAATCCATATACCGTGGAAGTAATCGTATATAGAAAGGGCCAACCTAAATGATTAAGGGGATGGAGCAACTCCCCTATGAGGAAAGGTTAAAACATTTGGAGTGCTTCAGTTTAGAGAAATGATGAGTAAGAGGATACATGCTAGAGGTGTATAAAATTATGCACCATGTGGAGAAAGTGGATAGAGAAATGGTTTTCTCCCTCTTTCAAAATACTCGGGGACATTCAATGAAGCTCAATGTCGGAAGATTCAGGACAAACAAAAGATAGTACTTCTTCACACAATGTATAGTTAAACTATGGAAATCACTCTCACATGAAGTAGTGATGACCACCAATTTAGATTACTTTAAAAGTGGATTGGACAAATAAGGCTATCAGTGGCTGCTAACCTGGATGGCTTGCCTGTTGTAAGCAGTATGCTTCTGAGTACCAGTTGCTCAAAATCTCAGGAGGGAACAGAGCTCTTCTGCACAGCTCCTGCTTGTGAGCTTCCTCTACTGTGAGAATGGAATGCTGGAGTATATGAGCCATTGGCCTCATCTTATGTGCATGTAGAATTGTACCTGCAGGCCTTATTTTTATTTCATTGGATTAAGGTGTGCCTAACGGCGCAATATCTGGCTTCTATCTAGAAGCCATAAGTAAGTGGCTTCTAACTCGCCAGCCTGACAATAAATCCATTTACATGGAAGTCAGTCCCACTGACTTCAGTAAACTTTCTTCCAAGTTAAGTATACTTAAGATGTCAGCCTTAGTTATTACCTAATATGACTACAGAAATGGTCCCCCCTTCTCCCACCCCATTTTCAGCTGGTGTTTTCATGCGGCTACATTACGAGAAAAGGCAATGGGGTACAATATTAAAATGTCACTTCACCACACATTCTTTTGTTCTGCATTGTGGCCTGGTGACGTGTTGTAAAGTTGTCATCATATCTACTGTATTATCGCCATGGCGTAAAGTTGTCATTGCTTTATTGGATATAAATGTATGATGTTGGCAGGGTTGATAGGATACCCAAAATAAAAATGGAATTGTAACAATTTCATAACTGTAGTTTAAAATATGAGAACTTGTGGATTTATAGATCCTCAAGAAGTTGCTGGCCGTCTTCTACCTTTGATGTTCTTTACTGTTAACAAGGAACTGAATATACAAGGAAGCAAAATACATATAGTCTTGAAAGCCACCTGCTTCTTATTCTCATTTCTATTATTACAGTCAGAAGTGAAGTTGAGTCCTGCCATGATTTGCAAATATATTATTTTATATTATGGTCACTCTGGTGTGTGATCTACATCAGCAACTGGGTGTGAGTGTGGGAGTTTGTTCTTTTGAACCCTTAATCAGCTTTTGATACTAGCAGCTGTGATATCCTTTTGAACTCCCATGTTGAATTTTTCTTGTTTTTTCCTGACACTGATCTATCTAGAGGACTGGCTCTAGAAAGTGACGTTGAGAAGCTACTGTTCCTTCCTTTGAGTATTGGCCTATGAGTTACCACTGAATTCCATCTTGTCACCAATGCTATTTAGCATCTCCATAAAATGCCTGGGGTAGTTAGTCCAGGGTTTTGGAGTGTGGTGTCATAAAATATATGGGTAGTGCCTAGCATTTTTTCCATCAGATGCTAGGGAGGCAGTTGAAACTCCAAATTAGTGTTTTGAGGTTGTGCTGGATGTGACTGAGACTTAATCAAAATAAGACAGGCACTTTTGGTTAACAAGAAAGCCAACCCAGGAATATATTCCTATCCTGTGTACCCTGACTGTGGTTTTTGTTCCATGCCTTTAACCAGGCAGTATACATTTGCTATTGTATACATATTAAAGGTAAAGGTACCCCTGCCCGTACGGGCCAGTCTTGACAGACTCTAGGGTTGTGCGCTCATCTCACTCTATAGGCCGGGAGCCAGCGCTGTCCGCAGACACTTCCGGGTCACGTGGCCAGCGTGACAAGCTGCATCTGGCGAGCCAGCGCAGCACATGGAACGCCGTTTACCTTCCCGCTGGTAAGGCGGTCCCTATTTATCTACTTGCACCGTGGGGTGCTTTCGAACTGCTAGGTTGGCAGGCGCTGGGACCGAACGACGGGAGCGCACCCCGCCGCGGGGATTCGAACTGCCGACCATGCGATCGGCAAGTCCTAGGCGCTGAGGTTTTACCCACAGCGCCACCCGCGTCCTGTATACATATTAGTTTACAAATAATGTACATATATTGATACATTATATCTTATGAAACAAGATGTTATGATGGACCCAAGAAACATTAGTTGTTAAGAGAGGCAGCAGTCAATAATGCAAAGAAAACTGTCTATTCATTGTTGTGTGAGGCTTTGCTCACTCTTATCATAGATCTGTGACGTAAATGTGGAAATGAAACAGTACTTTCATTCAAATATAAATGCAAACAGGATTCCATTAAAATTTATTTTGTCCCATATAGAGGCTTGCTTGTAACATTTTTTGGTATTTGCTGTAAGTTATTAGAGAAGACTAACACATGACTTCATTTTCTGTATGAGGATTGGTAGCTAAAGTAGGAATGCAATAATAATTTGTCTTTAGTGTTATGCTTATATTATGTAATACCTAATGGGAATACTTATGCTACTAACACTAAGTGGGGGCATTTATAATGCTCTAAACATAATTATGCAGTATAC